ATAGAATGATGTGTTTATGAATTGGTCTAAGTCGGTTCACATTTAGATATATGTGGCACATTTTAATTCCTCCAATTTTATGTTATTGGTTCTTCAAAAATGCGACGTATGCTAGGAGGCATCCAACTACTCGTTTACTGTTGCATATGAAGGAGCACTTTCACCTAATACATTCACCATATCAATATGGATTTTATATAAATATTTAATGACAGCACGCATTTCTAGTTTTATCATTGTAAAACCAGTAAGGAAAGTTCCAAAGTCGTACGAGGCCGACTATGTGATACCCTTTACCACTAGACATAATTATGTACTCTGTGCAATCGGACCAATATTTAGTTTTTTGTGCATCATTTACATTAAATCGAACCAAACTAACTAAATATGAATCGATTTGAACAAAACTTCGAATACATCAGTCTGGACTTAATTCAGTACTCTTTGTAAAATTTTGTCTCAATCGGACCAATATTGGGAGTTTAGTGCACCATTTACATAAAATCGGACGAAACTATTTATGGAAGCTATATCTAAATATGAATCAATTTCAACAAAACTTCGAATACATCAATCTGGAGCTTATTCAGTACTCTTTGTAAAATTTTGTCTCAATAGCACCAATACTGGCAGTATGGTGCTCCATAAAATCGGACGAAACTATATATGGGAGCTACATCTAAATCTAAACCGTTTTTTTCCAATTTCAATAGGGTTCGTCCTTGGGACAAATAAGTGACAGGTGCCAAATTTTATCCAAATCGGATCATAAATGCGACCTGTACATGGACGGGCGGACAGACGTACATGCATAAATAGACTCTGATTCTATGCACATTCTGAAAAGGAACCATGGGTCTATCTTGATTCCTTTTGCCTGTTACAAACATATGCACAAAGACATAATACCCTGTACCACAGTGTGGTGAAGGGTATAAAAATACATAATTTGCGATGATCAAAAAAAAAAAAAAAAAAAAAACAAGTGAAAAGCTTTAAGTTCGGCCGGGCCGAACTTTGGATACCCTCCACCATGGATATACTGACAGGTACTTGAAATTAAAATATATGGAAAATACCAAAAAGTGGACCTATATCGACATTTCCATAAGGACGAACCCTATTGAAATTGGGAAAAATCGGTTCAGATTTAGATATAGCTCCCATATATATTTTCGTCCGATTTAATGTAAATGGCCCACCAAAGTCCCTATATATCTTTCGATTTGCACGAAATTTGGCACAGCGCAATGAATTAGGTTTAGAAAGATGTGTGTTAAGTTTCGTGAAAATCGTTTTAGATTTATATATAGCTCCCATATATATTTTCGTCAGATTTAATGTATATAGTGCACCAAAGTCCCTATATATCTTTAAATTTTCATGAAATTTGGCACAGAGTGCTGAAGTATGTCTAGAATGATGTGTGTTAAGTTTCCTGAAAATCGGTTCATATTTAGATATAGCTTCTATATCTGTCCAAATGAAAAATTTAGTGTCGGTTGCAGAATGACATGCATATGGATCCAATTTTAATATAAACAAGTGAAAAAGCGTTAAGTTCGGCCGGGCCGAACTTTGGATACCCTCCACCATAGATATACGGGCAGGTACTAGAAATGAAAATATAGGGAACATGTCAAAAAGTGGACCTATACCGACATTTCTGAAAACGGATTATGTAAACCATAATGTAAACAACAATACAAATTTCAGAAAATTTTAATGGATAATTATACCTCCAGCCTTACAGCTAATGACGGTGTATACACTTTAACACAATGAAAATGTGCCTCATCGAAATATTAGTTCTAGACCCCATGTTTCTTTGGACCAAATCCGTTTCAGTAAAGTTGGATTTCATTCAAACCTCGCACATCTTATAATTTCTTCCAAACTTAGTTCAAATTCGAAGATGGGGAATATCGGTCCACTTCTTCTGGTACCTCCACACAGGGGCTAGGTCTAAATGCGGCTATAGTTCATTATCGAACCTTACGTTCTAATTTTTTATCTCGCTATCCTCCGCAGGTGAAATGATTACAACAGAGTCTTAGAACCAAAATTAAAACGCGTAACTATTTTAATATAAAAAAAGGGGTTATATGGGGACTACCCCAAAAAGGGGGCGAATATTAATAATTTTTGGTAGGGAGATTTGATACCATATAAGACTACAAAATACCAAATTGCAGCAAATTCGGTTGATAACGCGTTCAAGAACCCCAAAATACCGAAAATTGGGGGTATCCTTATATGGTGGCTATCCGAAAAAATGGATCTATATTCATAATTTTTTGTGGGGAGATTTGGTACCTATTAAGAACTCAAAATACTAAATTACAGCTAATTCGGCGGAAAAATACGATCAAAACCCCCAAAATACTGAAAATTAGGAGGTACCGTTATATTGGGACTACCAGAAAAAGTGGACCTATATCCATAATTTTTTGTGGAGAAATTTATTACCCAATAGGAACCCAATAAAGCAAATTTCAGCGAATTCCGTTGAAAAACGGGGTCAAGAACCCCAAAATACCGAAAATTGAGGGGTACCAGAAAAAATTGACCTATATTTGTAATTTTTAGTAGGTTTATTTGGTACCCAATAAGAACTCAAAGTACCAAATTTCAGCGAATTCTGTTGAAAAACACGCTCAAGAACCTCAAAATATACCCTCCATACTATGGTGGAGGGTATAAAAGGGGGGTTATGTGGGGACTACCCGAAAAAGGGGGTGCATATAAATAATTTTTTGTAGGGAAATTTATTACCATATACGACTACAAAATACCAAATTTCAGCAAATTTGGTGGAAAAACGTGCTCAAGAACCTCAAAATAGCGAAAATTGGGGGCTAATAGAAAAATTGGACCTATATTTATAATTTTTGGTGGAGATATTTGGCACCTAATAAGAACCAAATGTACCAAATTTCAGCGAATTCGGTTGAAAAACGCGCTCAAGAACCCCAAAAAACCGACATTTGGGGGTACCCTTATATGGGGGCTACCAGAGAAAATGGACCTATATTTATAATTTTTTGTGGAGAGATTTGCTACCCAATAAGAACTCAAAGTACTAAATTACAGCCAATTCGGTTGAAAACTACGATCAAAACCCCAAAATACTGAAATTTAGGGGGTAGGGGAGACTGGGGCACCTTCGGCATCGGGGCACCTTCGGCAATCGCGTTTTCGATATGAAGCTCTCACCGTACATCACTAGTTTCGATACATAGGTATCGAATATCGAAATAAATAACTTACACAAAGTTTGAAATTTCTAGCTAATAAGCTTATTTAGATACATAGGTTTTTGTATTTTTATAGATGTTTCTGTAATATTTCAATTCCATTTCGTAAGTATTTCGTGTATAAAACTTTTTAAATTTTTAAGACAATATTATTAAAAAGTGGTTAACTACGATGTGTATTATTATAGAAATATTTAAAAATATAATATTTTTACAAAACTGATCGAAAAAAATGAAAAAAACTATAAAAAGTACATTCGGGGCACATTCGGCATTTTAAATTGGGGCACATTCGGCCATATACAGGTTGTGCAATATTATTTCCTTAAAATGTTTTTGAGTTTGTCTTTAAAAGTAATCCTTTAATATGGCTCGAAATTGCATATAAAAGATCAAACGTGCTTATATTGACGAAAATGCGATAGAAAACCCCTGTTTCTGATGGTGTGTGCGACCTTGAGATGTAAACGTCCGCCGCTAGAAAATAAAGCCCTATAATTCAAACATTGTGTGGCGTATTAAAACCAAATAGAGCCTTTAGATAATCAGAATTTCAACCAGACTGATAGCGATGACAATTACCCGGCTATGACTATGGTGCCGAATGTGCCCCATCAAATGCCGAAGCTACCCCGGGTTGGGGCACATTCGGCGAATTTGACTTTTTTTACAAAACTGTAAAATTTTTTAACTAATACTATTTTTATATATCTTTTTGGTACTATTTTTCATAATTAAGTGTCAGAGGACAATAATCAGCCATATAGTTGTTATATATGTTGAATATGTACTGAGATATAGAGCTCTAAAAAAAAGTGCCGAAGGTGCCCCAGTCTCCCCTACTGTTATATGGCGGCTACCAGAAAAAATTTACCTATATGTATAATTTTTTGTGGAGAAATTGGGTACCGAATAGCAACTCAATATACCAAATTTAAGCGAATTCGGTTGAAGAACGCGCTCAAGAACACCAAAATACGGAAAAATTGGGGGGGGGGTACCCTTATATGGGAGCTATGCCTAAACGTGGACCGATATATCCCATCTTCGAACTTGACCTGCCTGCAGACAAAAGACGACTCTATGCAAAATTTTGGCGATCTATCTCAACTCGTTTAGACGCTAGAGTGATTACAACAGACGGACATGCTTAGATCGTCTTAGAATTTTACGCTGATCAAGAATATATATACTTTATAGGGTCGGAAATGATTATTTCGATGAAAACAAAATTAATATACCCTCCATACTATGGTGGAGGGTATAAAAAATAAATAAATAAAAAATAAATAAATAAAGCTAATATCATGAATGCCGAACAATCTCCAAATTAAATATTATATCTCAAATTGCGACTTAATCTCTTTTTGTTTTTGCACCATATGTTGCACATATGTACTGTTATAACAGGGATGGTACAAACATTAAAGGTATTGTCGTAGTTATTCTAATGTCAAAATATTATTGACATAGAAAATGGCAAATATCTTTAAAATGAATGAGATAAAATTTTGTAAAATTGAGTTACAATTATAATGTTTATTTTAATGCCTTTTGAAGGCAGGGTTTTATTTTTTCCTTCGATGTCAAATATAGTACGTCAAAAATGTTGTAAATATATACGACATGCCATCCCTGACTACAAAGATAAATATTATAAATTGCTGTAGTCATCAACTGTTAGTGAGCGTAATACACAATTGTCTACAATTCTTTAAAAAAATAAATAAATAAAATAAAAATATGGATTCAAAAGATTTTCAAAAGGATTTACTACCCGCCAGCGATAATAAAAGTGAATGGTTTCTGGTGCAATACGATCAGGATGCTCAAAAATTAACGAGAAAAATAGTCAACTCCGATGATTTAATGTGGAATGAAGAATTGCTTAAAGTCGAATCGGACGACAGTGGAAAGAAGAAAGAACATGTGCTGATACGAGATCAGAATAAATTGCATTTGGGCCATATCATTTATAGGGCAAAAACACTGGAGGAGTGTATCGATCATCACACATATTTGCAAATAATATGTATGCAACTGGTAAGTAGTTGATGGACGAACAGTGGTACTGGGTTCTGTCCGTCCATATTTTAACCTAATTGTTTGTAACTTGGTATTTTGGATTGTGGTGTGGTAAATCTACCAACTAAAAATGATCAACATTGGTGCACTTTTTATGCAACCAATTTGGGAGCAATTTGATATTTTGGATTTTCATTGAGTAGGAAATGTCCCTACGACATTGGTCCAAGCTTCCGGGAAGCCCCCATATAATAGTTATTAGATATTTTGGTGGGTGTGAGCATACTTTTCAATCGTATTCGCTCTAATTTGATTTTTCATATTCTCATGGGGTGTAAAATCTTCCTACCATAAATCTTCAATGTCATTTAATGGTTTGGAATAGCTCCCTTATAACGGTACCCTCCTACCTTTTTTCGGTATTAATACTTCTACCCTTCACCACATTGTGGTACAAGGTATTAGGTCTTTGTGCATATGTTTGTAACAGGCAAAAGGAAGCGAGATAGATCCATTAGAATATGCATAGAATCACTTTCTGAATCTGATTTGGATGAAATTTGGCACAAGTCACTTGTTTGGCCCAAAGACGAACCTTATAGAAATTGGAGAAAATCGGTTCATAGGATTTAAATATAACTACCATATATAGTTTCGTCCGATTTTATGTAAATGGTGCACCAAACTCCCAATATTGGTCCAATTGAGACAAAATTTAGCACAGAGTATTTAATTAGGTCTAGATTGATATACGCCTAGTTTTGTTGAATTCGCTTCACATTTAGACATAGCTCCCATATATAGTCTCGTCCGATTTTATGTAAATGAAGCACCATACTGCCAATTCGATTCGTCCGATTCCATTTCAATGATCCCCCAAAGATGCTACGTATATTCCATCTACAGAATATTGTTCATTTGAGCATCTCTCGTATGTACCTAAAATGATGAAGAGTATATATCATATAGTCGGACCGTCCGAGTTTTGAATTTTCCTTACTGGATTTTAAACCGATTTTTTGCATGAAAGTGGCTATAAATTGGAATATCGAATTTCTAGTGCTGGTCTCGTTTTATTTTCGGTATTTTGAAGTTGTCCAAATCAAACATCTACTACCACATAATGCAATAACATAGTCCCCATATAAATGTCCTGATCGATTGAAGGAATTTTGAATGCACACCACGTTGTAGAGGGTATAAAATGTCCGGCCCTTATACCCTCTTAATTTTTCCATCGTATTACAAAAATGTGATTTTGTCTTTTCAGCTACATACACCACACGAAGTTAACGATATTATGGATCGTTTACATTTCAACAATAACTTCTGGCTCCTCGTGATGTACAGTCGTAGCCCGAAGAAGGAGGAACAAGTTGTCTATGCCGTTTTCCATAGAAATGATGTCATTATGAAAGTGGACTCTCATACAAATGCCCTTATGGCATTTGTCCAAGAAGGACCGGCTACGTTCAAAGGCATGGTTGTAAAGATCTCCAATGATTTGAGCGATATGATGTTTGTCATCGATATCATACGTAATGAATTATTGAAATCGTGTGAGGAGGTAAGTACATATATTGTTTAATAACCCCCACCATAAGGTGGAGTGTATAGAAGGGGAAACTGGGGCACCTTCGGCATCCGGAATCGCGTTTTCCATATGAAGCTATTACATTAGATCATTAGCTTCGATACATAGGTATCGAATATCAAAATAAATAACTGTCACAAAGTTTGAAATCTCTACAGATGTTTTTTTCTAATATTTCCATTCCATTTTGTAGGTATTTCGTGTATAAAACCTTTTAAATGTTAAGGCAGTATTATTAAAATTAGTTAATTACATTGTATATTCTTATAAAAATAATTAAAAATGTAAAGTTTTTAGGAGACTTTATATTTTTAGACAGCATTTTGAAGTGGGGAATATTCAGCCAAATATTTATACCCTTCACCACACTGTGGTACAGGGTATTATGTCTTTGTGCATATGTTTGTAACAGGCAAAAATAATCGAGATAGACACATGGTTCCTTTTGAGAATATACATAGAATCACTTTCTAAGTCGATTTATGCATGTCCGTCCGTCCGTCTGTCCGTCTGTCTGTCCATGTTAAATTGTAAACAAAGTACAGGTCGCATTTATGATCCGAATTGGATGAAATTTGGCATAGGTCACTTATTCGCCCAAGGACGAACCCTATTGAAATTGGGAAAAATCGGTTCAGATTTAGATATAGCTCCCATATATATATTTAACCGATTTAATGTAAACGGCCCCTATATATCTATTTGCACGAAATTTGGTACAGCCTAATCATTTAGGTCTAGAATGATGTCTGCAAAGTTTCGTAAAAATCGGTCCAGATTTAGATATAGCTCCCATATATAGTTTCGTCCGATTTCATGTAAATGGTGCCCCAAAGTCCCTATATATCTTTCGATTTGCACGAAATTTGGTACAGCCTAATCACTTAGGTCTGGAATGATGTCTGCCAAGTTTCGAGAAAATCGGTCCAGATTTAGATAAAGCTCCCATATATAGTTTCGTCCGATTTCATGTAAATGGTGCCCCAAAGTCCCTATATATCTTTCGATTTGCACGAAATTTGGCATAACGTACTGAATTGAGCCTAGAATGATGTCTGTCAACTTTCGAAAAAATCGGTCCAGATTTAGATATAGCTCCCATATATAATTTCGTCCGATTTCATGTAAATGGTGCAGCAAAGTCCCTATATATCTTTCGATTTGCACGAAATTTGGCATAACGTACTTAATTGAGCCTAGAATGATGTCTGCCTAGTTTCATGAAAATCGGTCCTGATTTAGATATATCTCCCATATATAGTTTCGTCCGATTTCATGTAAATGGTGCCCCAAAGTCCCTATATATCTTTCGATTTGCACGAAATTTGGTGCAGACTAATAATTTAGGTCTAGAATGATGTCTGCCAAGTTTCGTGAAAATCGATTTAGATAGATATAGCCCTTTTTATTATAGATTGATTTTAAGTAATTGACGCACCATATATATTTTCGCCCGATTTCAAGTAAATTGGGCATCAAACTCCTCATGTTAGTCAGATTGACATAAAAGTTTGCACATCGTACAAAATTGAGCATAAAATTATATAGTTGCGTTTTCTAGAAGTACAGACATAGCCCAACGAATGACCAATTTATATTTGTTTGAAGTCGATTTACATACTTTATGGATAGATCTAGGTAGATTCACATTTAGATAAATATCACATACTTTATTTCATCCAATTTCATGCTAATAGTTCTGTTTAATATACCCATAGTGGTGAAGGGTATCATATAGTCGGCCCCGTCTGACTTTACTACTTTCCTTACTGGTTTTGAGTTTGTCTTTAAAAATGATCCTTTAATAATGCGATAGAAACCAGTAAGGAAAGTTGTAAATCTGAACCGATTTTAACAAAACTTCGTAGACATCAGTCTGGACCTAATTCAGTGCGCTGTGCACTGAACTGTCCAAATTTCATCCAAATCGGATCATAAATGCGACCTGTAGTTTGCTCACAAAAATACATGGACGGACATGCGTAAATCGACTCAGAAAGTGATTCTATGCATATTCTCAAAAGGAACCATGTATCTATCTCGATTCCTTTTGCCTGTTACAAACATATGCACGAAGACATAATACCCTGTACCACAGTGAAGGGTATAAAAAACTAAAACGTCATTCTAGTCTCAATTTGATGCGTTTCGTGTCAACCGGTGCGTCATTTACCTAAAATCCAAAGAAAATACAAATGGCAGCCATATCTAAATCAGACCCGATTTCAACAAAATTGTGTGTCAAATATACAAACTTGGAGTCTTAGTGCACACTTTACATAAAATCGAAGAGAAAAATAAATTGGAGCTATATATAAATCTGAACCGATTTTCAAAAAATTTAAGACACATCATTCTAGACGCAGTTCAGTTGAAATCTGATGGAATTATATATGGGAACTATATCTAAATCTGAACAAATCGTAAGATATATAGGGACTTTGGTGCACCACTTACATAAAATCCGACGAAACTATATATGGGAGCTATATTTAAATCTGAACCGATTTTCACAAAAATCAGCACACATCATCCTGCACTTAATTCAGTACGATTTGCCAAATTTTGTGCAGATCGAAAGATATATAGAGACTTCGGTGCATTATTTACATAAAATCAGACGAAACTATATATGGGAGCTATATCTAAATCCGAACCGATTTTCTCGAAACTTAGCACACATCATTCTACACTCAATTCAGGACCATATGCCAAATTTCGGGTAAATTGAAAGATATATAGGGACTTTGGTGCATCATTTCTTTTTAATCGGACGAAAATATATATGGGAGCTATATCTAAATCTGAACCGATTTCCACGAAATTTAGCACACATCACTCTAGACATAATTCCGTACGCTGTGCCAAATTTCATGCAAATCGAAAGATATATAGGGACTTTGGTGCACCATTTACATAAAATCGGACGAAAATATATATGGGAGCCAAGCAAATGAGCCTTGGACCAAAGAAATGAGCTTTACCAAATTTCATCCGAATCGAATTATAAATGCGACCTGTACTTTTTTTACAATTTAACACCAACAGACGGACAGGCGGGCGGACATGCATAAATCGACTCAGAAAGTGATTCTATGCATATTCTCAAAAGAAACCGTGTGTCTATCTCGTTTCCTTTTGCCTGCTACAAACATATGCACAAAGACATAATACCGTTTACCACAGTGTGGTGAAGGGTATAAAAAGCTATTTCTGATTGTGTATGTGGCCTTGAGACGTCAACGTCCGCTGCTAGTAAATATAGCATTAAAAGTCAAACATTGAGTCGCTTATTAAAACAAAATAGAACCTTTATAGGATCTGAATTCCAAACAGACTGATAGCGGTGATAATTACCATGATATGACTATGGTGCCGAATGTGTCCCATCAAATGCCGAAGCTACCCCGGGTAGGGGCACATTCGGCGAATTTGACTTTTTTTACAAAACTGTAAAGATTTTTAACTAATACTAGTTTTTATATGTTTATTACTAGTTTTTATAATTAAGTATCAGACGACAATAACCAGCCATAAAGTTTTTATATTTGTTGAATAAGTTCTAAAAAAAGTGCCGAATGTGCCCCAGTCTCCCCTATACATTCTTTATTATGTAGATCTGTTGTATTCGTCGAATTATTTTCTAAAATATAGTTATGCCAAATGCGCAAAAAAAATAATAAGGAAAAAATAACCGAATTTTTATGTTTGAACCGGATATTCACATAATGATATCGTTTTCAATGCCATATATGCATATTATTAGAAATCTAGTAAACAAACGTAGAACCGGACTATTATCGGTTTTATAATCGGAATATACGGTTCAAAAATTTAGAAACCCGAATTACAAATGTATTTTTATGAATTGCAATTGGAAAGCTTTATTACAGTTGGAATGTTTTTAATCCTATCTGAAAAGGGTGCAAAATAGTTTAATTTCCAAAATTAAAATGGGTGTAAAACACATTTGCAAATTGTGTAAATCGGTTAAGACCTATGGCTTATAATACGAATCATATGGTCGTATATTCGAGGTTGCAAGTTCAGTCAGCTACTTGTGTAGTTGTGTCTTTACAGCTCTGCTGGCTGTTTGATACATCCTGTACTATATTTCGATTTGTAAATTTAGTCTCATGTTTTATTAAATTCGCCAACTTTCTGTCTCATTTCAGAATGCCACCACAAACCCGTATTACAAACGTCAGGAGTTTAAAGAAAAAATTGCCATATTAGATTTTCGAATGCACTGCGAGAGTCAATTGTTGATCAAGGCCATACAGGCGGTGGATAGAAGTAAGACACGGATGGAATACCGTTACATGTATTTGCAACATCTTTACAATATGAGTCAACAGCAGCAGCAGCAACAACAACAGCAATAATAGTAGTTATAGTATCGGGAAGCCAATATGCAATACCCAACTGACAACAACTGTTTAACAGTGACGTTGACGAATTTTACAGCGAACCTAGTTCGGAACAAAAAAAAAAAGAAAATATTTAAATTGTTCAGGAAGAACTAAAAATAAGTTGTGATTTTATTTGTATATCCTTTGTATTATTTTTTAGTTTAGTTATCCTTTTTGGATATGTGTTTTATATATTTGTATGTATGTGTGCACCTAATAAATACGCTAATCCATAGGCAGATGTCACTGAATTTTTCTGAATAAAGATTTTTATAAACAAAAGCATGTATCCTTGGACCTTTCTTCTTCCGTAGTCGGTTGGTTGGTTAGCTCAACGATGAGTACCGATGACATTGGTGATAGGTAAAGAAGATCATCGCCATTCATGTGTGCCCGCCCACAGTACACAACAAAACTGTTGGTGGTCCACTGTTAGATGACCGGCTAGCCAGGATACCTCCTGTTGGCTATTGTTAAACAATGATCATTGAAGGTCCTTTGTATTCTTTGGTGTTTGTGTTTGCTCGTGCGATCATTCATGCCATAAAAATCGAGGTTACTGGCCTCGACCAGCAACAGCATCTGGAGTTGGGTGTGTGTAGCTGTTTATGACCCTCTTTGAGAGATTTGCACGAGCAGGTAAAAAAGGATTATCTATATGGCAGAAATGCAAATAAGGATATAGAATTGCATATCGCACATCCTCTAACTAGGTTAGCAATTCTGCATAGACATGTACGAATGTACCTGTCGGAAGGAGCCGAATGACAGGTGAAATGTTGTGCAAGGTGCAAAGATGTTGTTGTTGTACAACCAAAGACACATATCCTTCGGATGGGTATAAAAACTCGAACAGTGAATGAATTCGGCACAGTTCAACCAAGAACATCAAACCATCCACATTTCCAACACAGAACAAACAAAAATAATTTTTTAAACTGCAAAAATGGTTTTCGAACAATTTGTAGCTGATTTTCCTCTTCACAATCCCTCATACAGCCGCAGCTATGTGGACATGTTAACCACCGAGCTGCGCCTGAAGCGACTCAACAAACGCCAAATGGATAGCGCCATTATGTTTGATCGCCTCAAGGTTATCATCGATCAAATGGAGGAAGCCTATTGTCCATCCAGCTGTAATCAAGTCAAGGATCCTGCCTTTATTGCCGATCACAATTATGCCTATTCGAATTCTTCCTCGGGTATTACCACATCCACCTCATCGTCCAGCACCTCCCCACCACCCTTCGCAGAACAACGTTTCAATGGGTGTTCTTCCAATGAACCAAGTGCCAAGAGAAAAATCATCGATGATGATTACGAAGAATTCTCTGCCGAAGATGATACAAATTCTCCCAAAAATTATCACATGGATATGGATGCAGCACAGTATCCCCAACAAATGGGCGATATGGTAATACTTGGACCCAATGGCACCACCGTAGATGCACGTTCCTACAGCAGCATTATATGGGCCTCATCGGCCTCTGCCACCCGCCAGCTATTAAGCTTTGTCTTTAGCAGTGATATTTTGGCCACTCACACCCTAACCGGCAAACCATCCCCAGCCTTCTATGGCCGTGAGCGGCCAGCCAAAATGCAATTGGATCCCATCAAGGCAGCGGATATCATTCATTGTGTCAAATCGAAATTCAATTGCAGTGAACGTGAAATTCGTGCTGCCATCACCACAAAATGTTCGGATACCTCCAAGAAATACAAACGGCGTTCACAAAAATTACAAATGGACTCGGTTGCTTAAGCGAGAGTTAAAACGTTGTTTTGTAAGTTTTGTTGGTGTTTTGTGAATTTGTAAATATGTAAATAGTATCTATTGTATAATTTGTAAGAGTTCGGTTCCGAATGAATTTTTATATAGTTTTTAAATAAAATAAAAAAGAAAACATTAAGAAAAATAACTTTTTGGTATTTTAAATTTGTAAAAAGCGAAATGGTTAGGGCGGGTAATTTCAAATTCAAATGATGGTATGTGGCTTACAATTATAATATTCGAATTACAATAGAAACAGTTACGTGTTGCCGATAGATATATAGCCTTAGCCTATGGTTTGCGGAGATCTACAAAATTACTTACAGGTTTTATTATTCGCTTTATAAAAGATATATGCTATTTTTTTAACAAAGAGTTGGGACTTACCAGAAGAACCCATCCTATAGGACCCATCTTTAATGCAGGTTTGGTAAAATATTGCAAAAAGCTTCAAAGTAAATGTACAAGTTTATAAAAAGTTTACCCTTTGGTTAAGGAAGGAACACTAGCTCCCACCTTCATACTTGATTCAGGTTGGGTAAAAGTATTACAAATTGCAAAGATAGAATCAAATCGGACATTCCCCTCGCTTGATATTAAATTACAAAATTTTCAAAAATTGGACACTTTGTGGGGGAGGTACCAGAAAGAGTTGTCCGATGAGTTCCATCTTCGGGCTTGATCTATTAATCTGTTATTAACAATATTTGATGTGCAAGGTTGGATGCAATTTTGATATTCCTTTCACTTCATATGAGATTTACAAATTTTCAAAATTGTTGACTCTTTGACTCTCCTTTCAAAATTGTTACAGATATTGTTAAAATATTAGGTTGTACAAAGTTTAGTCCGAATCAGATAGTCCGGATAGTTCGCATGGTATTACGAAATTAATTTTTTGACCATTTTGTGTGGGACGTACCAGAAGTAGTGGACCGGTGAATCCCATTTTCGAATTTTATTTAAGTTTGAAAGAAACATTACGATATGCCGAATTAGGACCGGAAACCGGACATTCCATTTGCCTAATATTGAATTTATAAATATTGAAAATGTTGACCATTTGTGGGGAGGTACTAGAAGGAGTGGACCGATGTGTCAGATCTTCGATGTATGGTAAAAATAATATTTAAATCAAATAGGACTTTCTTATAGAACTTATAAATATTGAAAATTTTGACCTTTTGTGGGGAGGTATTAGAAGGAGTGGACCTATGTGTCGTATATTCGAGGTGTGGTAAGAATAATATTTTGTGTCATATTATTGTCGAATTGCAAAGTGTGCGAACTATCCGATTTGAAGCAAAATGTTCATCTTTTCATGGGGGTGGCACCAGAAGGAGTGGGCCGATTTCCCACGCCTTCGAAATGATTCAAATTTTGAAAACATTTTACAATGTGCAATGCTTGAATTAAATCGGCACACTTACGAGAGTTATCGTGCGCACCAGTCACACGGAAAGATGGACATTTGTAAATCGACTGCAAAGTATCTAAAACGGATTTGGTCCAAAGAAATATTGTTTCTAAAAGCAATATTTCGATGAGGCATATTATTGTCGTAGCAAAGTGTATATATCCTCATTAGCAATAAGGCTGAGGTTATACAAATGTGTAGTTGGAAAGGGCCAATCGGTATTATCAACAGATACATACCATAAGTCGACAGATGACAGATATATATATATATATATATATTCAACATTTATCCAGGTCAGCGGAGTTTACGTATCAGCAGTGAAAATGTTACTGCCCTTTCCTGTCCTTCCTATAGAGTGATACTTCTCATTATTCGAAATTTTAGTGAATTTAGGCATAAGTTTTCAACCGAATTGGCTGCTATTTGACATTTAAGATTCACGTTGGGTTAAAAATCTCCCTACGAAAAATTATCAATATTGGCCCATAGATCGGTATACCACCATTATTCGGTATTTTGCGCACATTTTGACTAATTTGATATTTTAACTGTAATTTCATGGGGTGCCAAATCGAAAGATATGTAGGGACTTTGGTGCAATATTTACATAAAATCGGACGAAACTATATATGGAAGCTATATCTAAATCTGAACCAATTTTCTCGAAACTTAACACACGTCATTCAAGACTCAATTATGTTCGCTCTGCAAAATTTTGAGCAAATCGGAAGATATATAGGGACTTTGGTACACCATTTACATAAAATCGGACGAAACTATATACGGGAGCTATATCTAAATCTGATCTGATTTTCTACAATTTAAATAGAGTTCGTCCTCGGGCCAAATAAGTGAATTGTGCCAAATTTCATCCAAATCGGATAATAAATGCGACTCGTACTTTGTTTACAATTTAACATATACGACTGACGGGCGAACATGCAAAAATTAACTCAGAAAGTGATTCTATGCATATTTTCAAAAGGAACCATGTTTCTATCTCGTTTTCCGGTTACAAACATATTGACAAAGACATAATACCCTGTACCACAGTGTGGTAAAGGGTTTAAAAAGTTTTGTGAATAAAAAACTTATTTTCAGAATATTTTCAATATAGGCTTAGGCTTTTTGCATTGCTCCCAAACAAAGACCTCGCTTATTTTTCATAGCCCAATTTTCCAACCGGAGTGTTTGTAATTTGGGTTTTGATTTTCACAAATAAACAACCTACTGGCCGTCAATATGAAGTTCTTCTAAAGTTCCTTATATTTTTGAAATTTTGAATGCCCACCACATGATGGGGGGTAAAAAAGTGCCGACGACCTTAATGACGTTTTTAAGTGTTTTATGAATGACCCAAAAAGAAGTTAAAATTTTAATTTGAATATGAAACCAACCAAATTTAAGGAAATTAAATTGGGAAAATTTTGTAAAGCGGCATAGAACTTAATTCCGATCAACTTTTGGAGTCTCAGGTGAAAATTTCGAGGGGTTGCAAACGGTATGACAAATTGAAAATTCAAATGAAATCATTCAAATTTTAAATTACCCATCAGTCCTACCCACCTTACTCCATAAAAATTGAAAATACCAAAAAATTTATTTTTTAATTATTTCTTTTGTATTTTATTTAAAAACTATATAAAAATTTTATTCGAAATTCCGAACACTTACAAATTATACAATGCTAATACTATTTACATATTTACAAATTCACAAAAAAACAACCAACAAAAATTACAAAACCAAATTTTAACTCCCGCTTAAGCAACCGAATCCATTTGTAATTTTTGTGAA